AATGACGATTAGTCAAACAGACCAAAGCCCATGTCATCATCAGATGCTTCATCAGATGCTTCATCAGATGCTTCATCAGATGCTTCATCAGATGCTTCATCAGATGCTTCATCAGATGCTTCATCAGATGCTTCATCAGATTCTTCATCAGATTCTTCTTTTTTCCCCCTCTTTCTTTGCTTCTGCGGCGGCAGGTTTGCCTGCAGCTGGGACAACAGCAGCTAACCTTACTGAGATATTTCCAGTGCTCACTAGGATGGTGCTAAGAAGGAAAGATGAAGATATATTGTTGTCTGGAAGAGGAGTCAAATTCCAATAGAAATGTTGAATGTTGAATTAAGAATCGACATCACAACACTCGAAACACTCCCATACGCCCCCCTCCTCTTAAATAGGATTCCCGCGTGAAAACCTACTCTGGAGCCCTAATGTAGGACGCAATTTTACGTTGTTTTAAAGCCCCTGTCCGGCTGTCGTCATGGACCCTAATATAACCTGGACGAGGTCTGTGACTTGCCTCCGGGTGCTTCTCGTCTGAATGGTGGCACTTTGTGTCACCGGGTGTTGGTCGCTCTTTGTGTGGTCCTGGTGCGGTTGAACTTCAAAGATGCGAATTTCGTGTTTTCTCCTTCTTTTAACTCTCTTGTCCCTACCTCCACCTAGCGAAACTCGCAGCTCTGTCAAGCGAGTAGCAATTGAAACAAACGTCATATAGTACAGTGAAGGACCCTTTTCCACGCCTCAAGATTTATTGGGCATATAGGGCTAGACCTATAGTTTATAAACAAATCGGAACTCGGTTGGTGATGTAGTCAAAATCACGCTGGTCGCTTTTACTTCCAATGACTTTACCTGGTACCCTTTTGAGACTAGGTCTACCTGGAGAATAAGCAAAAATCTTTCAGGCCTAAACAATGCGTATACCAAGCTGGACTTATTAGCAAGCGGACGTATTCTTCTTCTGCCTTTCTAACACCCCCCCCCCCCCCCCCCAAAAAAAAAAAAACATAGGCCCTCAACCACCTCAAGTCGTTCTATCCTTTGCTATCGCTATGTCCTCCCTATCTTTTTTAGCCTCACTCACAAGCGGAAGGGTGCTGCGTGGTCTGGGGGCATGGTGTTCGCCTTGAGTGCTAGAGGTTCCGGGTTTAATCTCTGGTAAGGGCTGGAATTTTTTCACGTGGGCTTGGACTTGTAGTAATTCCCCCTGGTCTCTGGGTAGTGAGAACAGACGCCTAACGGCACTGCCCGTGCAAAATTTGGAGTCAAAAATCTACCTAAAGTATTTCAGGATTCTTGCCGGTGCTACAGAGCCTGTGCACTGTGCTTAGTTTGTCGGACCTAATACTTGAGTTAGAAGAAGAACAAAGCACTTATAGGTTACCACCCGTGTGCCATGATGTTGATCCGTTGTTCAGACCTTAAACCTCACAAGCGAACGTTTATGGGGATACAAACAGTATCTGTACGCGTGTTTACTCCTAGCACTTTCACTGTTTGGCGTTTCTAAACGTCAGGGCCCCTGCCCCTACTCACAGCGCACGATGGCTGACAAGCGTGTATAAGTACTCACTGCAACAGTGCTCCTGAGCGGGGTAAACGGTAGTAGGCGTGTGCGAGCGGCGGAGGCCCACTGGGGCTCACACTTGACATAGCGACTCACTTCTACTTGTCTTTAACCGCCTTACTCTCCTGCCACTTAACGGGGTTTGAAAAATGGGAGGAATCGGATCTAAGAGGGCATTGATACGAGGATAATGGCGTGTGTGTATGAGGAGGGTGGTGACGAATGTAACTTTGACTCTTGGACTTTTCTAACGTGAGTGGGTTGAGCATATTGATACACTGTATCCAGCGAATTATGTTTCTGAAACATGTGATATTTATTTGTGGTGATTTATTTTCTCGTGCGAAACAAGGTTGGGTATCTTTTGCAGGTCGTCGCTGACACACTTGCGTGGCGTTGCTAAACAATTTTTACTTTCTTTTTTTTTTCGTCATAGCTTTTTGTTTTACGGTTCGACTCTTATGCAGTTGTCGGAATCAAAGCATAGCTGTCTGTTGCCTAACAGACATATAACTTTTAATACTGTTATATTCTGGAATTGTGAAACTGCTTTTATAACCCCCAAAAAGAGCTGTGAAAGATAGGTACCTAATATTTTGCTACTGTTAAACTAAATCATAATTATGAGATAGGCATAACTTGAACTTTTTAACGCTAGTTATAAAACTGTCCGTTCCGATTAGTCTTTAAAAAATCTGGCCTTAGCATCATATGCACGAGGTCCTCCCTAATGGAATGAAAGAGTTCCTTAAAAGTTTCTTTTGTGTGTGATACTTTTAACCCGTCGGCGCATTCCGATTTGTAAAACGGATTTAAAGAGATTTATCTTCCCATTGCGTGTCCCTTGAGTGCTCCGGTGTCTTTCCAGTGTCCCCACCTCTCCGCCGTCATGGAAACGAGAATGCCAAAGGACGCGAGAGTGAGCGAACTCGGGCAGACGAGGAAACGCGAGGAGAGTTCATTCAACAAGTGTCTATCATGCTTTCGAGGAATTGATGAGAGTTTGGGTAATATTTCGTATGCGGGGTTTAACACCGGCGGCCCTAGAGCAACTCGTGTCGATGTCTCTGAAGCAGGAGAGGAAATAGCAGCTAGTAAACATATTGAAGGCGACCTCGGCTGCTGTAAATACAGCCTTGCGTGTGTTGAAGGTGAGGCGCCAGCTGCTTCTAACATCTTTAGTTTGACAGGTGAGGGAGGTTTAACACGAACTCCTTCGAAAACAAGTTGTCATAGTGGACTAAGACCACAAAACGACGAAATAAAGACACGTAGACAAGGTTTCAAGAGGGACGGTCGTTATTCTGAGTGGCCTGTTAAGATTGCAGCTCAGTCGTATGTTTGTGATGATTATTTGTGCTGGTATTCAGAGACTGATAACTTTTTTGTGAGGCGGAGAGTTACTGCGGTAAGTAGGTGCTTTAAACATAATCGTGATTCTGAATTCAGACCTTCATCGTGTTCTTACAATTGTCGTATTATCGATGAGGATGAGGATGAGGATGAGGATGAAGATGCTAGTTATGTGAAAAGTATACAACCAGTAGAAGAAAAGGGAAAACACACGTCAAATTATGATGTAAACAGAGTTGTTCGATCACAAGATTCCTATGAAGATACTATCAGCTCAGCGTTTAACTGTGAAAAATGTTCACTAATTTCATCTGTAATACTCCACCACCAATCTGAGAACCGCATCTTGCTGCCGTCGTACCGTGATTTTAACTTTTTGTTAGGACGCCATGATAACGCAACTTCTGCAAATACTCTCAAAGTTGGTTTCCTCCGTCTCATACCTGGAACACAGCCGACAATGAAGCCTGCAAAGATTGGTCAGCTGACGCCAATCAGCTATCGATCAGGGCCGATCGATCGATCAGAATGTGGCAGCGTGGGGTCCCAAACGGTACCCACGGCGCAGCAAGCCTGGCTTTGTGGTGGAGACGGTGGGGTGGATGCTGTTGGTGACGTGTTCGGTGATAGCGATCGCACCGGCGCTGTTGTCGGTCCAGTGATCGCCACGAAATGCAACACGACCGTCGCTTGTTGCAACAAGCACGCAACTTTATCAGCCACCTCAGCAAAAAACACACGACCTAGAACAGTACAGGCAATTCGAACAGGGTCAACATCTCCGCGCGAAAGTCAGCTACCTAAAGGTGACGATGTTTCTAGTTGCCATCATGAACAATTTCCCACACAATTTGCGACCTTTCGATCTGAGAGTACTGATGTGGAAAAACAAGCTGATGACAAAAGGCCCAAGTCAATAGGTGAATGGAAAACTCATATTCCTACTAGCTGTAACAGTGAAGGCCCATTTATTGCTTCTTTTGGCATCAACGAGCAAGTCGATAATTTAAATGAACTGCAGGATTTTGCTGCATGTTTTGATAAAAAGCCGATTCAGACGAGCCATTCATCGTTTAACGTGTCCCTTGATTGTCACATATTGTCACACACACCTAAGCCAGGAGTTGAAGTAGAGAACTACATATGTGGACAGGACATTGCGGGGTCGTTGCCAGATAAGGGCAGAGATAATGAGGAAACGTTGGATGCAGACAGTTCTCTGAAAGACAGCTCTGCTACCCAACACTCGGACAGCTTTACTGACATGAGTATCAAGGACGCTAGTCCGTCAACTGTCTATGCCAACTTTATTCATGACAGTAAGTGCCCCTCATCCAACAAGGAACGTGACTCGAACTCCTGTCTTGCGAGCAACAAGGACCAAATTCTTGGGGTCAACCACTTATTCTTTCATCAGAACAGATTATCTCACCAGTATTTGAACAGCTCTATAACTGGACAAAACTATCCGGACTTTCTCCCAGCAGTCGGACACAGCTATCCGGACTTTCTTCCAGACGTGGGACAGAATTATCCATACTTCTTCACGGATACAGGATTAGTTAGTTGTCCTGATTATCCATTTCATTCCAATATGATTTTTACGGCGACGGCAACAAAAGAGACGAGTTTTACAGAGAAATCTCAAGCGTGTGGAACTGATCCCCCACTCGCATCCGGGCAGCACTACTACAACAGAAACACGGTGTTTATCCCAGTAACAAGAGACTCAAATGCCGCAACTAACCAGGCCACAAGACCATGTGGGGACTCCAGTTTCGACTTGTTTCCAACGAATGTCATCTACAAGCAAACGCACACGAAGGACAATGAAATGGATCTCATGTGTTTTCCTCAGTTTTCCCAGCTCCCTTGCTCGCAGCACAGATCATATCCTTCGATGTTTTCTCACCAGCACGAACAGCAGCATAATTTCCAACAGCCCACGGAACAGCAGCAGCTTCTGAGTCAGTTTCATCCCACATATCGCGAGAATAGGCACCAGCATCAAGAGCAGCAGAGCCAACAAAGATCTTTCGGACGAAGCAGCTTCACCAGTTCAATCCTGTTTTTTCGACAGATGCACTGTGGCCCGCCGTATATACACATTTCTCCGGTGTCTTTGCTATGGGCTTTTCTATCCGTTCTTGTAGCGAGCACAAGTCTTCTGAGTTTCATAACACCGTACTGGACTGTCCATCCGGATCACATCCATTCATTCGGTTTGTTTAACCTGTGCGTGAGAGATCAAAGGTTTGCTCATCCAAGGTCTTTGTGCATGAACTTCGGACTTCAAACTCGTTACACAAGTTCGGTTTTTATTTCTGCTTTGAATAAATCAGAAGCGGTTCATATAGTCACATCGTCTGCTGATATAGCCAAGATCCCTTCTGGTGCTTGGCAGGCTGCCTGCTTGCTTTATGGAGCGGGCGTGTGTGTTCAAATCCTTGGTGCACTGGTATCGCTGGTTGTGTTAGCGCTGGGTGAACCGTGGCATCACAGAGTAGCTCTCATCAATGGATACATGCAGACGGTTGGAGGTAAGAGAGTTTCCGTGTGTGCTCTTGGTTCTGTTGTGCCAGTCTTTTTGTTATTTTTTAGATTTATCCTCTTGCGGTGTCCGTGGCTTAGTCGTTGCGAGTCAGACTCATAATTCCAAAGTACCGCGTTCGAAACCCCCTGCTGGCTGCGTGAATTTGTATCGTGGTATGGGGGGTCGCAGGTCGACCCAGCGTTAAATGGGTACCAGGATGGCTGTCCTGGGGAAATAAAAGCGACCGGCGTAATGCTGACCACATTACCCACCTAGGGCCTATTGGTCTGTAAAAATATGAGAACTCTTCCCATGTTCCCAGTGCGCCTAAAGGCATGAAAAGGGATCTTCACTTTACATTACTTAGACATATCATTAAGTGCCTTACCACCGGGCATTGGCGATCATGCAACTGCCCAATCTATGTGAGTCAATGAGTGTGCTGGCACTTCTCTATGCCATGTCCAAAGACTGTCAAGAATATTCTGAAGAAGAAGAAGAAGAAGAAGAAGAAGAAGAAGAAGAAGAAGAAGAAGAAGAAGAAGAAGAAGAAGAAGAAGAAGAAGAAGAAGAAGAAGAAGAAGAAGAAGAAGAAGTAGAAACAGAAGAAGAAGAAGAAGAAGAAGAAGAAGAAGAAGAAGAAGAAGAAGAAGAAGAAGAAGAAGAAGAAGAAGAAGAAGAAGAAGAAGAAGAAGAAGAAGAAAAAGAAGATGAAGAAGAATTGAAATATTCTGTAATCGTGTCTTCTATTTCAAAATAATATTCCAATATTCTCTAAAATCATCTTAAGCCGAAAGTTTTTAACTAATTTAATTTCTGTAGACAAAACCACGAATACAAAGCAATATAATTATCGCCCTTGCTGGTGCTCAAAAAAGAAATACTCTCACAGAGAACTCAGAATTAAAGACTTTCAATCATGAAAGGATGTTGCAGTTATTCCTGGCGATTTGTCTGTTTTCCCTTTTATCTGTGCGACTCTCGACATTGCAGTTGTATCCTTCCGATAATTTGCCCAATAACTTGCTGTTTCCAATTTAAACATGGAAAGTTTATGGTTTCAGATCTGCATGGAAACAATTTGTTTCTCTTCAGAATTGAAATTGTCTGCCAAATCGACTAATTCTAAATCGATCATCATCATGTAGCAAGTCCTTTGCACAACGTCGCTCTCATCACGGTCTGCCTAAAAAAAAAAAAAAAAAAAAAAAAAACTCGGTTTTTCGCCAGCTCTCCTGCCTCATGTACTAGCATACTTAAGTAGTCACTTATATCCTTTGCCCATCTTCGTGTCGGTCCGCCCCTGCCCCTCCTTCCTGGTACCATGCCTCCTGCTATATTTATTTTTCCAATCCGTCGTGGCGCTTGATATGACCAAAATATTTCAGCCTCCGTGACAGGATGCGTTGATTAGCCAGTATTCCTTGATGTTCAGATCTGTCAAGATGTCAATATTTCTTCTCTTCTTTGTCCAAGATATTCTGAGAATCTTTCTATAGCATTTCAACTCACACGCCCCTATTATCTTTCTTAAGGACTGGGAGATAGTCCACGACTCACATCTGTATGTTGCTACAGGGAAGGGAGATAGTCCACGACTCACATCCGTATGTTGCTACAGGGAAGGGAGATTGTCCACGGCTCACATATGTATGTTGCTACAGGGAAGGGAGATAGTCCACAACTCACATCCGTGTGTTGCTAAAGGGAAGGGAGATAGTCCGCGACTCACATCCGTATGTTGCTACAGGAAAGGGAGATAGTCCACAACCCACATCCGTATGTTGCTACAGGAAAGGGAGATAGTCCATGACTCACATCCGTATGTTGCTAAAGGGAAGGGAGATTTTCCACGACTCACATCCGTATGTTGCTACAGGAAAGGGAGATAGTCCACAACTCACATCCGTATGTTGCTACAGGGAAGGGAGATAGTCCACGACTCACATCCGTATGTTACTACAGGGAAGGGAGATAGTCCACGACTCACATCGGTATGTTGCTAAAGGGAAGGGAGATAGTCCATGACTCACATCCGTATGTTGCTACAGGAAAGATCTAAACTGGAACAACTTCTTTTTCTTCTTCTTTTTCTTAGCGTTCGTCGTCTGTGAACTCCAGCAGAAAAAAACAGGCTGTTCGTCCACTTCAGGACTTTGGTCTTGTTCCAGAATTAGAGATTTGCGTGCACATCCATTTTACATATCTGGCTTATTTACATGCAGACTGTTGGTTCCTTGCCTGTCAGGTAGATGCACTTAGAGTGTAACATTCCAAACTAGTCGACTTTTACGAATTAGGTGTTTGGTCGGGGGATCATTATATATAATAAACAAATAGACAATGGTATTGATAGGCACTCGCAGGGAGAAAAAAGGTAGAAAGATAGATGAACAAAATAGACAACATAAAAATCGAAAGACCTAGTTACCGTGCCGGGAATCAAACCTGTCACCTCCAAATGACATGCGCGCCTCGCTATGGAAAGGAGTATACTGAAATACGTTACCAGCTAGCCACGCCTTTAAAAAGATGCCTTCATTGGCTGTGTCTATAGCACAGCTTGAAATCCACAACGAACGAGTACGGACATAATTCTTCCCAAACCAGTACAATGGCATGACAGGCTACATAAATTTATATTAACCAAGCACAGGTCGAATAACAAATACAGCAACTAGTAAGTAAAGTAAGTAAAGATCCATTTCACACCTTTAGCCGTATCGAGCACCCATATTTTTACAGACCAATCGGCACTCTGTGGGTAATTTTGTCAACATTATGCCGGCTGTCTTTACTTCCCCAGGACATTCATCCAGGTACCCATTTGAGACTGGGTCGACCTGTGACGCCAGCAGTGGGTTTCGATCGCGGTATGTTGGAATTACGAGTGAGACTCGCAACGCCTAAGCTACAGACACCGCCCAGCAACTAATATAAACAATAGTTAGTTAGTTAGTTAGTTGGGTTATCCTCATTGCACTCCGGACATGTCCATAGGTGCTCAGATCCTCCCCTCAGTATGAACCCCAACGTCCGATGGCTAATAGTACCAGTTCTATGTTGATTAACAAGTCTTCTGGCGTAGCTGGTGTGCGTCTCGTTTTTTGCTGTGCCGATCTTAATTCCCAAGTCTGCCATTCTGGCGAGTGATGTGGATTCACTGCCACCAAAGTCCTCTATCCTTCCCATTTCTCTGAGGGCATTGATAATATCAGCATGATCCATAGGCTGACCGTCGGTAGTGATAGCGGATCCAGCCAACCTGTCAGCTCTTTCATTTCCATCGACGCCTGCGTGTCCCGGAACAAAAATAAAGGTGACTCCACGGACAGTGGACTTCTGTAATGATTCAAGCCATTGTCTTCGCACTGAACCTGCCTGAACCCTCCGGATCATACTCATTAATATAAACATATTGGACCGTAATGCTGTGTTTAGAATACAACGAACATATAAGAAAGAGATTTGATTGGTAGATTTCATTACGTTACACGTAATTTACATAAATAAACATAGAGAGGGGGGACCCTTGGGGCCGTAGAAATATTAAAGTTGATAAAAAACAGGGGCAGTAGATCAATATACACCCTCCCCCTTTTTTAACAATGGGCGCTCGAAACCCAACTAGGAGGTACAAGTTTAACTCCTATGAAGTAAAGATAACATGATGATGATGATGATGACGATAATGACAATGATGATTATAACAATGACGACAATGATGATTATGAGAAAGATAATGAACAGACCACCATGTTTCGTACTGTGACGAAGCCGAGATAAACCTCATTGCTCATATTCTTAGTCTGTTCATTTAATGTGTCCCTTTTGTAATAGGATCTTTGTGGCGAAGTGGTAGGACTTTTGCTTCGCGCTCTGAAAATTGTGGATTTATTTCACGGACTTGCAGAGATTTTTGGAGATCGTCACTGGAGTTATGGAGTTCGTGCTGTGTACAACGCTCTCGACAGGCATCTAGCGCTGTTTGAAGAGAAACAAACAGCCATATCGATCTTCTCTCGACTGTTTATTGTTATTATTAATATTTTGAACCTGCAATATTCTAAAATTTGCCATTACTTTTCATCCATTTTCGTCTATAAAGCGCGCTCTTTTATAGCTGTATAGTGTTAGAGGCCAGATTTAGGTTTGTATCCATGTCCATGACTTACAGTCGATTAATAAATTGTCTAAACACAGAGAGAGAGAGAGAGAGAGAGAGAGAGAGAGAGAGAGAGAGAGAGAGAGAGAGAGAGAGAGAGGAGAGAGAGTAAGACAGTGTTGGAACTAAAATCAGATACTCATAAATAAGACAGACAGACAGACAGACAGACAGACGTACAAACAGACAGGCAGACAGACAGACAGAAACACAGACAGACAGACGGGGGCGGGACAAACGGACAGTCAGGCGGGGGGACAAACGAACAGACAGGCAGGCAGACAGACAGACAAACAGACGGGGGGTCTGACGGACAGACAGGCAGGCAGACAGACAGACAGACAAACAGACGGGAGACAGACAGACAGACAGACTGACAGACAGACAGACAGACAGACAGACAGACAGACAGACAGACAGACAGACAGACAGACAGACAGACAGACAGACAGACAGACAGACAGACAGACAGACAGACAGACAGACAGACAGACAGACAGACAGACAGACAGACAGACAGACAGACAGACAGACAGACAGACAGACAGACAGACAGATAGACAGACGTACAAACAGACAGGCAGACAGACAGACAGAAACACAGACAGACAGACGGGGGCGGGACAAACGGACAGTCAGGCGGGGGACAAACGAACAGACAGGCAGGCAGACAGACAGACAAACAGACGGGGGGTCTGACGGACAGACAGGCAGGCAGACAGACAGACAAACAGACGGGAGACAGACAGACAGACAGACAGACAGACAGACAGACAGACAGACAGACAGACAGACAGACAGACAGACAGACAGACAGACAGACAGACAGACAGACAGACAGA